ATTACAACCATATATTTTGTCTGTTCTGTTCCTAATTCGAGAATGCTTTATCTTTTTCCTTTATGAACCTTGCTTACATTAGTTTCCATAGAAACCACACAACTGCGCATCCTCACACGTAGTTCACCTGTACCCCAATTGATTACCAATAAAAATCAGTGGCTTGGACTGGCCAGCACCTTTGTCCATTGCACGTACATTGGTCATCCTGGTGCCCCCCTTTCTGTCTCTCTTAGTTCTTTTAGTTTTTTCCTCAGGCCTGTGTCTTACACTGAATAGGAGACTGGAGTCTATTGCAGAGGTCTCCAGTAACGTTTCAGGGGTCCCCAGAATTTGTACAAGAGAAAGAAAATCTGTATCACAAGAAGAATCTTTTAAGAATGTTCATAACAGCTTGATTCATAATAGCCAGATCGAGAAACAATGTGAGAGTCTTACCAATAGAAGGGATAAACTATAGCATCTTCATACAATGAAATCTACTGACCAGTAAATAGGAACTACTGATACATGTTACATCAAAAACATTATGCTGAACAAAAGAAATCTTTCAGAAAGAGGAAATATTGTTTGATTCCATTTATGTGAACTTCTAAAACAAGCAACTCTTTTTGTGTATGTGATGGCAGTACTAAAGATAGAACCCAGGGACCTCACACTGAGCTACACTTCTGGCCCTTTTTTGAGACAGGGTCTTGTCAAATTGCGCAGGCTGGCTTTGAACTCAAGATCCTCCTGCCTCAGCCTCCCAATCCATACACTACCATGCCCAGCTAAAACAGGCAACTCTTATTCATGGAAATAAACAGTGGTTGCTTGAGGGGCAGGAGTAAAGGATAAAAGGTAAGAGGTATTCAGGAACCTTCTGTGGTTGTAATAATTTTCTCTAAGGGTTTAAGTTGTACAGGTGTTTGCATTTTTTCAAAACTCAGTTAATGTATCATAAGATCTGCACTAATAAGTCTTCAACAAATACTGAACTCTAGACGATATGTATATTGGTGTATTTAGGGCAGCTGCACAGATGCCTGTAATTCACATGCATTAAAAAGACTGATAGTGGACAAATATATAAGTAGATAGTATGTTAATAGAAATTGTACAATGTTATAATTTATGTAAACATTCTACTATTTCAGTTTGCTTGTTATCAACTTTTAACTATTAGAGATATATTTGTGTATCATTTTATAAATAGCTAATTTATTCCGTAAGTCACCTTTTCCCAAAGAGTGATAGCATTAAGGCAGAAGGTAAACTTAATACATCTAACTTTAAGTTCTATGTTAACTTTTTGGATATTCCTTAAGGAAAGTATAAGACTTTAAGAAAACATTAAATGAAAGATAATCTAATCTGCCATCAGCAATTTTTGGTCTAGGAAGATATTTGTGAAATTAGTCCTTTTTTTTTTCAAGGGTTACCACATTAGACTCTTAGGCCCCAAGACACGACATTTGCTTGAAAGCATAGTCAAGGACCCTGTCAGACAATAAAAAGTACAAAATGATTCCCACTCCAGCACTGAAACACTCTGATCCATTTTTTTTATTCATTGGTTGGCCACAGTTAAAATTTGCATTGGTGAGAGGGGAAGAAAGCAAGCATGGTCATGCTGAAAAATCAGGGTCAGTTGCAGCCTCTGTAGGGCAAAGTGTATTCTTCAAAAGAAGATGGAACTGGATTCTGTATTTTGCTAGTTTTGATACTAAAATACCTCATATTTCATATCATAAGCCAAGTCAAATGTTAATTAACTACCAGAAGCCTATTTCAAAATTTTTCTACCTAAAGTTAGTACTATGAGATCTCAGAAATTTGAAAAGGGACTTTATCAGAATTATACTGGTCCTTTTCCAAAACTATGTCACTGTGAGGAACTGAACTAAAGAGATAATATCACCTGAAATTGGTACTATTTAAAAAGCCCTTTGAGTGCTGTACTTTGAACAACAGAAAAGCAGGATCAAGGATCCTACTTGTAAAAAGTAAAGTCTCACATAAACTCTAGCCAACAAGAAAATACTGGATCAATTTGATATGATCGTCCTATGAAGGCATTAGAAGTACTTTGAGAACTTTTATCAACAATGGACACTGAAGTTCATGTCCTAATTATGGATAGGATGAATGCATTACTAATACAGTTCTCTTTTTTAATTCTACTACTGGAAAGAATATAGTTACTGTTAGGGTAACATAAAGTCACAAGGACTTAAATATGATTTAATATCATTTCTGAAGACTTCAAAAATGGTTTCATCTCATGCTACTGAACTGCAAACTCATTTTTACATAAAAGCATTAGTTAACATTCCATAATTTGCTTACCTTGGCTTTCCCTTTACATTTCCTACTTTAAAACAAACAAAACAAAACCCCTAATGTTCCAAACCCAAGATAACATCCCCTATTATTCCTATTATTCCAAAAGACAGTATAAGGTACTTTTCCTATCACTCAAGGTTACACACTCTGTGGCTGTTTGTTATTGTCGTTGCTTTTTAGAAATCCCCACTATACAGTAAGCTCCACAAGGGTATAGACTATCTGCCATTTAAAAACTGTCAGTATTTTTACACCTAAATATTTGCAAAACAAATTACCTGTAATTTTGAAACTTCTCCATCCAAGGGACTGTACTGATTTCTTATCTTTAGAACAGCTATTTCATGACAATTCAATGACTATAATAATAACCAGCTAAGTGTCAACTAAGAATTGCTTTTAACTACTTAATCTATACCTGATGGGATCGCTTCTCGGCCTTTTGGCTATGATCAAGTGTATACCTGATGGAAACTAGATTTAACGAAACTTTAAGGTTATGTATACAATCATAAAAGTGTAATAAACTGAGTACAGGATGTTGTGTTTTTATATCATGGAGAACTTTATCATTGTTTTGTCTATTTTCCACAATTGGGCCAGTTCAAAGGTTCTCAAAACATAAATTACAGGGTGGTTCTACTGTTTGTATTCTAGCTTATTTGGGTACACATAAAACTAGAAGAGAATTAAAAGAAATTTGTGCAAACACAAGCGGTGATTTGGAAGATAAGTACTATTTTATGTGTGACTAATCCTAAATAAGTAAATTAACCCACAAATAAATATAGCTATCATTTCTTGGTGATTTCTTACAAAAAGGTATAGTGAGAAATGTCAAGATTTGTGAAATGTGTTAAGATAACTAGATTTGAAATAAAGAATGCAAAAGTAAGCAAGCTTGGTTGATTCATAAAAGCAGGCTTAGGACTTTTAGCCTAAAGAAAAAGAAATGGCATTTCTTTTAAAACAAGCAAGACTCTGGAGTAACTAGTTAGATAAAAGTCTCTTTATGACTCAATTCACTACATTCCTAATAGTAGCCATCTATAAATCAAGAATAGACCCAGTGACCTCATAATGATTTCCTGTGTTTCTCATGACACTGGTTGTGACCAAATTTATGGCTCACAATCATTACTAAAACTGAAATGGAATATAACATAAAATATCAGAGTACAACATATGTGTAAGAGAAATTAGTTTCCTGAAACTTTCAATTCAGTTGCATGTGTATAACAACATAAGATGTATTTCTAAGTATGGCCTGTATTAAAAATTACGTGAAAGCTACTCTTGTCTAGAGGTTCCAATTACTTCTTCCCCAAAACAATGAATAAATCAGAAACTCTGTACTGTAATTATTCACAAAAATGAAAAGTGACCATAACCCAGGTTTAGGTTATGATAGTTTAAATTTGATTTCAAAAGTTCTAAAATCGGGCCGGGGATTTAGCCTCTTGCCTCGCTAGTGCAAGGACCCAAGTTCGATCCCCGGTACCAAAAAAAAAAAAAAAAAGCTCTAAAATCAAACTGCCTGCATTCACATCCAAGTCTCATTACTTCCTGAGTAAATCTGGGTTTATTTAAACAACATGGGTCTCACTGTTACTATCTGTAAAATGAGAATGCCAATATCTGCTGAGTTGTAGTAGAAACAAATTAAATATATTAGAGTTCTAAACATATGTTTTACTATTAACAGAACAAATTGAAGGAATGATATTAGAAACGTAGCAAGAAACTTAACACAGGGCACCTTTGGTGTGTTATATTTGATGTGTCTGGGGAGTGCCATTTCCTATCTGTCTTATTTGAGTTTTATAATGTACATATAAAGTTCACACTTCTAATGTAACGCCCTTAATGCAATTATCTTTATCTCCAAAAAACATCAGGAAGCGATATATGGGCAGTAAGTTTATGGCCTTTGTTTTTGTTTTATATTTCTCTATATTTTATAAAAACGGCAACGCCAAAAAAAAAGTGAGGTTCAGAAAGAATGTAGGGATTTGCACTTTTTCTGAAGAACTTACGTGGCAGATACAGTACTTCTCACTAAATCCTAAATCTTACGAATCCTCTTACATATCATTTTTGCCCATGAGAAAACAGGCAACTAAGATCGGGAAACTGCATTTTACAATGTTAATAGCAGTCCCCACAACTTGAAAGCTTCTCCCAGTTGCTTCATTTAGGTATATTTTGGTCTCCCCAAGCAGATTGGGAGTTTCAGAAACTCCATGTATGTCTTTCAGTGAGTTACTAAGACTACAACAGACACTTGTTGAGTTACATTAAAACTTCTTTTGGTCTGAATTGTCCTCAAGAAATAAAACCAAAACAAACATACAAACAACAAAGCTACACTCAAGCTACTAAAGTTCTCACATTCATAACTGAAAAAGTTTATATATGTCCACAGACTACTACTACAGAGTCTTGGAATAGGTACCGTACAATCACTGAAGAATGAATTCACACGTCCCCTTTCCACGCCCCCATCACCCAGATGCTATTTAAGAAAGGAATCTGTTGTCTACAGGTGAGGTACTAAAGAACCATAACCACGCCCCCGTCTTATCCCCTCACAATAACCTGTTTTCTTTTCCCTGTCGGACCACCTGACCCCCATCCCCAAACGCTTAACCATCAATTCAAAAGTCTCTGACCTGCAGCGAAGTGCAGGGGAGAAGACTTCCGGCCAGCCATGTCCTTTGCATTTACGTTTGCAGCGTCCACCAACCTCTTTACCCGGGACACGTCCCCATTGCGGCAGGCCTCCAGCAATTCCCGTAGGGCCCCGCTCACTGCTGGGACCCCCGTCCCAGGTCCCGCTGCCCCAGGCCCCAATGTTGCTGTGGTGCTAACCCCGGCCGCCTCGGGGCTCTCAGCCAAGCTCGATCCAGGAGAGGATGGAGAGGAAGATGAGGAAGAAGTCGGGGAAGAAGAGGACGACGGTGAATTGTTACTGCTACCGCCGGCTGAGTTCAGAGCGACCCCAATGGCAGATGAAGCAGAAGCCGCCGGGGCCACAGTAGCGGCAGATACAGTACAAATTGTGTTGGTGGTACTGCAGCAGCTGGTACTGTCAACCGGGTCCGGGGATCTAGGCCTGTCGGGCGGATCCCGACTGCCATCCCCCTCCGGCAGCGCTAGGCCATGCCGCGGGGAGGGGAAGGTGGCCAGGCCCCCGGCCGCGGGGGAAGCGGGGGTGGTCCCCGGGGCCAAGCCAGGGCTGAGAGGTGGGGGAGGTGGTGGCGGCGGAGCCGAAGCCCCTGGGGCGGGCTGGAGCTGTTGTTGATGATGGTGGTGATGATGCTGAGAGCGACGCGACGCCGCCATCTTCGGACTCCCCCAGCACTGTCACTGCGGCAACGGCCCCACCGCCCGCCCTCACTTCCGACCTCTAGACCAATCAGCGCCAGGCGCACAGGAAATGATAACGAGGCGGGGTGGGCGGAGTCAAAGAGAAGGAGGGAAGTATTGGAAACAACTTTCAACGGAGGGGGCGTGGCATTGTGGCTGAGGGCGGGCTTTGTGATTCGTTGACAGGCCGGCTGGAGAGTTTTGAATGCTAGAACCCGCCTCTGCCCAAGTGGAAAACTTCCTGAATTCCTCACTTTGAACCCGCTTGTCCCGTCCTGCTCCGTTCTGTCTCAAAGTCTCCTACTGCCTTCCTTATCTTGCTGCAGAAGTCAGCTTTTGAAGTGTAACTCTGTTCAAGTCTCTATTAAGTGATCTCGTCTGAAAAATACTAGAACGAATAGTACTTAACTTCAGAGTTGTTAACGAGATTACGTGAGCTAACATAAACAAAACGCACTGTCAATAATACACAACTAATTAGCCCATTGGGAGTTTTAAAAAATACAATCTTTTTTCTAGTTATTCCTTCGGTCTTTTGTTCCTTTCTTCTAAATCTTTTCATCCTCTGTGTACTTTATTAATCCTCCATTTTAAAAATGTTTCAGATTAGAATTCAAACTTTGCTACCTTCCAGCTGTGTAATTTGATCACACTACTTGACCAACCACTCTGCGTCTCAGTTTCCCACCTATAAAAACGATATAACAGTTCAACAAATGTTAATTATTAACATTATGATTTTTCTCCTATTTTATTGTTTGTAGTTTTATCACTAATTAGGGCTAATTATGAGTATATGTCTTTTGAATTTATTTTAGCTTAGCCTGTCTCCCCCTCCTTTCTTATCACTCCTCTTCTTTCATCCTTCCCAAATAGACATAAAATTTGACTTGTGCCTATCTGTACCTTCTGGTTTCATTTTCAGCAACTTCCTATATCTGCTTTTTTGTTGTTGTCTGCAATCAAAAGAGATGTATCCATGAATGGCACGATCTCAGTGAGGTCTCCATTTCATACATACTGTCTAACAGTAAAATAAGCATTGTAGAAGTATACACAAACAGCATTATTCCAGGAGTGAACACAAATGGAGATCTACGTCCTAAGAAAGTCAGATTTAGACTGGTCAGACAGGATATTAAGCCAAGCGGTAAATTTTTATTTCTCGTGTTCATTATTAAATATAATTCATGTGATGTCACTATTCCCATGTCAATAAATGGGTAACTTTTGGGGGACAACTAACTAGATGCAATAAGATCAGGAACATAATATGAGTGGCATTTAATTGGAATCTGAAGTTACAAATTATAACTCTAACATCATTTTCATAAAATTTTGTCACTGTTGACAAAATGTGGCAGGGTAAGAAAACTCCACAGTGCAACTAAAATTGGATGGTAATGCATTCTCCTAGATTTAAATCTTTTGTTTTTTTCTTGCAAAAATGGTATTTTACTACATCTGACAATCTAATTTACAAATCTTTATATATTTTAAAGAAAGCATTATAAACATAGACATTTAAATATATAAAATTCAAATTTAAAACAATAAGCAAAGAAACTTATCTTTGCACTTTGTGGTTATTACTGCCCTACCTTCAATTCATTATCCAGAGTTCAAAGACTAGACAAACCCAAAAAATGTAGCAGATGCATTTCCACAGACTGGTGTTCACAATTTAGTCTGTACAGAAATATTTCCACTATACTCATAGAATACTCTTAGGATGAATGAATCAGGGACTGGTCACCTGCAATATCTTCTGCAACTCTTCAATGAGCTTACATTCTTGGTTAATTTTTATAAGCTTTGAGATACATTAGGATCCATATTTCCCCACAGTTCTGAATTTCTTTTTCAATCAAGAGTCATGTCAGTTTTTCAGAAGGAAAAAATGGGCTCCACACCCTATAACAATTCATGATCAACAGCAAAGGAATGTTCCCTTTTTCATCAAGATTTGAAAAATGCTCATGAGGCCTCAGAATAGAATGTCAAACCAACATCACTCTCTTCAATCTTAACTTCTTGAGAGTATAGATAGCATTGAGGAGCAGGTGGTGAATCCATGTTAGATATCCATAACTCACCTTCTGTCCCCTTGAGTATGGCCTTCTTCCTGAATGTGAAGCATAAGAAATATCTCATCTGGACCTGCAATGGAAACCACAAGGAATATCTCATCTGATGGCCAGTTATTCATATCACAGAAAGAATATTTAAACTAATTAAAAATGTACCTATTGTGTCTATCAGTACAAAATAAATGAGAAAATCTTAGCTGAATTACCTGAAACTACTCTACTGGTAAACCATTTCTGAAAGTGCATTCAATCAACTAGAAATTGCTTTTTTCATGCTCAAAGGAGAGAAGTAATAGTACATGGCATTAAGCATTTATAAAGTTTATTAGGTTTGTTTGGACTAATGTTGAGCTCTAAACGTGAAAGTTCAGAAATTACCTAATCTATGGTTAAACACAATTTCATGAGGGATGCATTATACAGTAGTGGAAAGAGCATAGCCTAGGGTGAAACTTGGATTTAAATTACATTTCTAAAAATGGCAAGTTGGTTAATCTTGGTAGATATGCTTCAGTCTGTCAGTCTGAAATTCTGATTTTATTGGAGCATTGTCATGAGTATTAAAAGACCCAAGTGGGCTGGGGATTTAGCTCAGTGGTTTTGCTGCCTGCTGCACAAGTGCAAGGACCCGAGTTCAATCCCCAATACCCCCCCCCAAAAATAAAATAAAATAAAAGACCCAAGTATTTTGTAAGCACTCCTTAAATACCAGTTCCATTCTCTTATACAGTGTTATGACTTGTATCTAGATGTCACCCCAAAGCCTCATATACTCATAGGTGGGGCTTTTCCGAGGTGGCTAGATCTCGAGTGTGTGAATGTGGATTAAGGGTATGATAACTACATTAGTCCACTGATTGATTAACATAGTTCTGGGTGTGGATAATGGGAAGGCTCAATATGGGTGTGGGTGGTACCACCCAAAAGGCTTGTAGCCTGGAAAGGATAAAAGGGAAATGGAGGCTTGCTGCTACTACTCTGCTGCTTACTGCTGTTGCTGCTGGTCATTGTTGCTGCTGCTTGCTGCCTTCTGCCTGCCACACCATGGACTATTTCTCCTCTGTGACACTTCTCTGCAATGCTGCCTTCCCTTGGAGTCAGCCAAGTATGGACTGAAACCTCTATAAACTGTAAGCCAAAATAAACCTTCCATTCTTTAACTTGTGGATGTCAGATATTTTGTCTCAGCAGTGAGAAAAGTAACTAAGACATATGGTGTACATAAAGTGTCAGAACAAATACACAACTACTATTGAGAACTTTCTCCTCACAACTTCTTGTATAACAAAGAGGGATAGACAATAGATATCCACCATTTAGTAAGTAACGGAATCCTTAAGCAAAAAAATTGAATTTGCTTCCTTGCTTGATAATTCAGCTTTCTTTACAAGCCCTGAATATCTCCAAGAATTTTTGAGGACCACAGTAAAGTAGCATCTTATCATTTTCAAACATGCTTGCACAAAAATTATGTCCAACTGCTCTAAAAATGTGAGCACATAGCGTTCTCTAGGCCATATTGTTGACACAAAAGAAAAGGCCACCAATTCAAAGGTTGCTCACCTCCAGACTGTGTTTTGATGTTTGTTTTTTCCCCATGGGAGATAAATGAACACTCTGCAAGTTTTGCAGTCATAAACTTGCACAGATTTCGTATTTGAGTTTGACTTGGTGTGGTTATTCCATCCATATACTTCCCACAGATCTGCCCAAGATCTGAGTACATTGGTGGTATTTCAGATCTATTAAATCAGTTATCCACTAATGCTCTATGCAATGCATCCTGAGCAAACCCACCAGCAGATGCCAAAGTTGTAGTTTAGCCAAGGCAGTGCCATTTCCTTACCTTAGTCTTAAAGGAAGATAGTAAGTTATTCTTAAATCAGAAATACTCATGGTGCTAAGAGCTCAGATTTCTCTATAAAAGTGTTACATTCTTTCAGCTAAAAGTTCATCCAGAAACCCACGTAAATCTTACAGAGCCACTGGTAGACAAGTCCCACGACTGCAATCATACCAATCACATTGTATCAGGCAGCATTTTATTAAAAGAAAAAACAAAACAACATATACCAAGACAGGAAAATTACAAAAGTTCAAAGATCCCCTACATCAGTTTCTTAGCAACTCCTTCCTAAAGTTTTAGTTTCTTTATATTTCTTACATAACAGGGTGCTAGAAAGACATGTGTAACCTGCACTCTGGAAACTTGAATTTTATTTTGCTATGGTCTTTATACTTAAAAATAACCAGTTCAATGTGAAGTATTAGTTCCCAGAAGAGAGGCAGTAAGTAAAATATAGTAGTTAAGAGTAAGGATTCTGCATATCAACTTCTTGGATATGAATCCTAGCTTTACCACTATCTGTACAATTAAAGAATTCCACACCCAACTTTTTTCTTTTTGGTACCGGGGATAGAACTCGGAACCTTGCGCTTTCGAGGCAGGCAGGCAGCTGAACCACTAAGTTAAATCCCTGGCCCTCCACACCCAACATTTTGACAGGAAAGAATGAAAACATACTTGCTGTTTAAAAAAAATAGTAGAAAGCTTTCAAACTAAAAACATTCCTTTCCCTGTGAGCATTCTTTTCTAAAAGTAATTAAAATTGAACTTAAGAGATACATATCTGGTATCCCTCAAAGTCATAACATGTTTAGAAAAGTTTCATAAAGCTCTCAACTGCAGTAATAAGGAATAGTATAAGTGGACAACAGTCCATATATAAAGATGTAATGGCTTATGTAACTTTAAATGTAGCCAACCACAGTAGTGCTGATGCATTTGCAAACCAACGGATTGTGAGGTACACACAGAGCATTCAACCTTTCCAATCAGAACATAGGGCCACCTACCAAGCTATGAGGAAGGTTAATCCTTGCCATTGTCTGAGAGGTTGCATCTACCACCCATTGCCCATGAGGCAACTCCTACTCCTGTTAAAGACTGTGGCAAAGACCTCTGCCACTAGAGATCGCCAGAATTTCCTCCTGGGAATGAGGGTCAGCTGAGGCATTCATTGAGAGGCACTAG